AACCGTCTGAATGAGACTAAATGACCATTTTACCCCTACATCTAAAAAACCAATTCCACAACCTTTATCTTTGTGTAATGCAATTGAAAATGATTGATAAAATGTAGATATTTGAATGCACTTGAAGCTGGTGGTGGGGCCCAATGGTTAGGAGAGAATGTGAATTCAAAAAATGTTGACTCATGGAATGACCCGATAAATGCTCTTGTTGTGGGCATTCGCCAGCTAGGATTGTCCGGGTGGAAATTACAAGAATGTAAAGCAATTGAAAGTGAACTTCTTGCTTGGAAAGAAAGAGGTTTATCAGAAAAAGAAGGTGCCTTTTCCTCTTTTTTCTTTTTTTTTTAAAAAAAAAATGATTTAACTTTGTTTGTAATAACAAAATAAGCATTGTTGTATTTGTTCTAAAGGTAGTGAAGATGGGAAAACAATTTGGGCTTTAAGGATTAAAGCTACATTAGACAGATCAAAAAGACTCATTGATGAATACTCCGAAGCACTTCTTCAAATTTTCCCTCCAAAAGTAGAGGTACCTTTTTACTTTTTACTTTTTACTTTCAGCTTTCAGTGTATATGACTTTTTTAACTTTTTATAAAAGTTACTTTTGTATTAAATTTGTTTCACAAGATTATTCTTGTTATGATTCTTGTAGATATTGGGAAAAGCTCTTGGAATTCCCGAAAATAGTGTACGAACATTCACTGAAGCAGAGATTCGATCCGGGTATAATGAGAACTTTTAATAACTAATAAAAAATATTAGATAATATAAAATTTCTAACTTTAATATTTTGGTGTTTAGAATAATTTTTCAAGTTTCCAAACTTTGCACGATGCTTTTAAAAGCGGTTAGAACTACACTCGGATCTCAAGGTTTTGACGTTCTTGTCCCTGGATTGGCTCATGGAACTTTAATACAGGTAAACTTATATAAAAAGAAATAATTAGACCTCATTTTTTTTATCTGATTATTATATTTGATATTTCTCAATCATGTTGTTTTTACCAGGTTGAAAAAATAGTACCAGGTATACTTCCATCATCTGTTACAGGACCTGTTATTCTTATGGTCAGCAAAGCTGATGGAGATGAGGAGGTTAGAATAGTCTTTTTCTTTCTACTCAATCACAACCCTTGGATCAAATTCATCTAACAACTACTGATGTTTCTAGAAGGCTAACTATTTTGTAACAACATGTGTAGGTGACAGCTGCAGGGAGTAATATTGTGGGAGTCATTCTACTCCAGGAGTTGCCTCATTTGTCACATCTTGGTGTGCGGGCCCGACAAGTAAGTTTATTATTATTATTATTATTATTATTATTATTATTATTATTATATTTTGTTAATATTGTGATTTGGTTGATCGTTTTATAGGAGAAAGTCGCATTCGTGACGTGTGAAGATGATGATAAAATCGCTAGTATCAAAAAGCTCGAGGGGAAATATGTTAGGTCAGTAGTGGAATCCTGGAATGGAATCAGGGATTCCGATTCTGCCGGAATCCAGGAACTAAAAATTATCTTATGTTCTTTTGTTTTGCAGGTTAGAAGCATCCCCATCGGGAGTCAATGTGATTCCGTCCACGGTGGAGGACGGAATTAGGGATGGCCCTGTGGAAGCTTCATCAAATGGGACTCCAAAAGATTCTGTTTCCAAATCCATCTACTCAAGTCAGGTAACACATAATAACTTTATTAACCCCAAAGATGATAAAATTTACATTTAATAACACCATGTGATGTTTCATTTGAAGGGTATTTCAAAGGCTGGAATCATACAACTTGCAAATGCAGATGTACAAACTTCTGGTGCAAAGGCAGCTGCTTGTGGTAGCTTAGCTTCTCTAGCTGCGGTTTCTGCTAAAGGTCAAAATAGTAAAACTAAAAATTTCCATCTTTTTTTTTTCTTCGTAAAAACGATGTTATTTTCATCGATTATGATTCAGTTTCTTGATTCAATACAGTTTATAGCGATCAAGGAGTTCCTGCTGGTTTTAATGTCCCAAATGGAGCAGTGATTCCTTTCGGCACCATGGAACTTGCAATAGAAGAAAACAAATCAAAAGAAGCTTTTGAATCATTATTAGAACAGCTCGAAACTGCAAAAATGGAAGGTGGAGATCTCGACAAGCTCTGCAACGAGCTTCAAAATTTGATCGCCTCCTTGAAGCTTCCGAATCGAATCCTTGAAAGTTTAGGTGAATTGTTCGAGGGAAACGCACGTTTAATCGTAAGATCAAGTGCTAACGTCGAGGATTTGGCGGGAATGTCGGCGGCGGGGCTATACGATTCAATCCCTAATGTCACGCTTTCAAATCCGGTCAATTTCGGGAACGCGGTTAGTCGGGTTTGGGCGTCTTTATACACGCGACGAGCGGTTTTGAGCCGGAGGGTCGCCGGCGTGCCACAAAAAGCGGCGACGATGGCGGTATTGGTTCAGGAGATGCTTTCGCCGGATCTCTCGTTTGTGCTGCACACGATCAGCCCGACGGACAACGATTGTAACTTGGTTGAAGCCGAGATCGCGCCTGGGCTCGGTGAGACGCTAGCCTCCGGCACCAGAGGAACGCCGTGGCGGATCTCTTCTGGGAAGTTTGACGGGGTGGTGAGGATGCTGGCTTTTGCTAATTTCAGTGAGGAGATGGTGGTGGGTGGTGTGGCGGATGGGGAGGTGCTCCGGTTGACGGTGGACTATAGTAAGAAGCCGTTGACTGTGAATTCGGTTTTCCGGCAACAATTAGGGCAGAAGCTTGGGTCTGTGGGGTTGTTTCTTGAACGGAAATTTGGGTGTGCTCAGGATGTTGAAGGATGCTTGGTGGGTAAAGATATATTTATTGTACAGACTCGACCTCAACCGTTGTAATGAGTTGTACTTTATGGTTTGGAGAGTGGAGACTCGATCTCAAATGCTGTAACGAGTTGTACTTTAGTGGTGATTATGATGTTAGAAAACCATAATGTTGATGTAGAATAAGCACAATGTGTGTAAAAATATCACATTAACCTTAATAAATGAGTTTGATTGGATTTCATTCTTGTATTTGATATGTTTTTGTTTGGGTTTGACATGTAAGATAACAGTGTAGCTTAAGAAGATTATGTAAGCAAAGGGGTGAGCATTTAGATCAGATCGGATCCACTTGACAGAAATTGATGGATTTTAAACCAAACTTGTTGAGAGCTTACATGGTTCTTGGACGCATCTGGACCAAACATGTCCGACTCTTGGATCGGATCGGTTTTGTAGAAATGGATGGACCTTAGACCGGACATGCAGATACTTATAAAGTTCAGGTTTGGTCCTTATGTCCAAATACTCACCCCTAGATGAGAGAGAATTAGTTGTCACTTATTAGACAAATAGACCATGAAATAAGATTGTCATTGAGAAACACAGGTGTGTAGGAAAATTTGTTCCATGGCATAAGAAATATAGGGCCTAGTAAAAGCAAGATATAGCATGGTACGGGTGAGGTTATGATAGTATGTGGTGTTTGTATATGAATCGCCTATGGTTGACTTCAATTTGGCATTCGTGTTAACTAGTGTATAAGATGGTGTACAAGAAGTCATGCTAGCACGTAGGGGCGTCTCTCAAGGGTGTGCGACATGGGCGACCATACAACCCATGTCACCAAGGGGGTCAAATTTTATTTTACATACACATATAGGTTTAAGTTTAGTGTATTCACGTTAGTTTTAAAGACGCTGATGGTAAAATACAAAAAGAAGCTAAATTGCTATCAAAGAATAAGCTCAGCGAATTTGAGTTATTGATATCAATAGTCCTTTGGTATCAAATACTATACACAATGAACTTTTTAGCAAAAATTTACAATTGGATGATATGCTTCTATTTTGATGTTATTAAAAAAGTGAATATTTTGATTGAGTTCTTCGAGGAGTTTAGAGATACAAGGTTCTCTAAGTCGCTTGTTGATTCTAAACAATCAAAAATGAATATTGATCTAATATTCCCTCAAAAGTGTCCTATTCATAGGATCAACAATTTGATGAGAATTCAAGCAATAAGAGAGTGTACATTCACCCTAGGAGAACTTTTATATTGATTACTTTTTTATATATTATTGAGAGTTTCTCTTAAAACAAAGTTTGAAAGAGTATGAAAAGAATTTTGGTTTATTTCCAAAACAGTTAAAGGAATTTGATGATAAAGATCTTTAACTTAAGTTGTATCCATCTAGAATCACACTTAAGTATGGTAAAGAGTCTGATATTGATATCAATTAATTTTATCTAGAGTTAAAGTTGTTTGATGATTTCTTACCGAATGAAACTATCAACCTCATCAATGTTTTAAAATATAAGAAAAAAGTTGATTGTTTTTCTAATGCAATTATTGTATATAAAGTTTTGCTGACTATTTCAATCCGGTAACTTCTATAGAAGGAAGTTTCTCAAAATTGAAGTTGTTAAAGTCATACTTCCGATCCACTATATCATAAGAAAAGCTTAATTAATTAACAATGATAGATATTGAGAACGATATATTGAAGAGTATTGATTATGAGAGTTGGTGATCAAATTTGCTTTCAAAAATACTAGGAGAGTCTCACGGTTAATGTAATTATATAAGATTATATATCGTTTCTTTTTATTTTGATTGTTTTTATAACATTTATCCACTTTCTTATCATGGTGTTAACATTCAACGATTTCTTTGACGCATTGAATCTCGGTGAGAAAAATACAATTGACATGCGTGTATACTGCAATGCCGAGAGCATCAAACTGATTGGTCATGAGAAATTTTCAAACATCTACAACCCTTTGTTAAAAAACAATCATTATTTTAATAAAATAAATCAGTATATCAATTAATCCGTTCACTGTTCGTTTGGATACCTCCTTTTTATCTACTCATAACTCTAATAAACATACTGAATGCCGCTTTTCCTATATCTTATCTTATAGATTGTCTTTTATGTACAATAAAATAAATATCATATCACACTCCATATATACACAACAACAAGATCACTGATCTTCAGGAAAATCTAATAAAGCAAACTTCACATGCAACCCTATCTTCCCGCCGTCCATCACCAACTTCCCGCCGGTCACCAACCAATGCCCCGGCATATCATGCGATCCCCGCACCACCTCTTCAATATCCACATACTTTCTCATCTTCGTCGACCGGATCGGCACCGGCCGGCCCATCAGGATACACCCCGGAGTTAATCGTCGCCCGGAAGCTGCTTAGGCGCATCAGCCACCGACCTTTGCGTAAAAGTAAAAGTCGAGCTCAGATTCGTGAAAATACTCGATTTCCGACCTAGGGTTTCCGCACCTGCCCATTCCGTTTTCCTAATCGTGCAATGAGGAAGGTGAGTGAAGAGTAGCCGGAGGTGCAACACCGATTTCGGCCATTTCCCCTTTGTTACGAGCTGAGCTCCGGTGACGATGAATACTCCTCCGCCTCCGGTTCCTTGTAACCAGTTTGGATCGTGTTTCACTACTGATGAACAGATGTTGGAGTATCGCTTCCATCTGACTGGTTCCAGGAATTGGGCGGTGGATTCGAAATCGTCGGACCCCCGCCACTGACATGGCCGGACGGTGGACGGCGGTGTGTTACACGTCATGATGTTTGGGAGGCTTGAGAGATGTTGCACGTGCACTGCTAATCGGTTGCTTTTCTTCCCTTCTAGAAACAATCGTAGACCAATAATCGGTTTTTTGTTACTCGAAACCTAATAATAGTAAATTACCCATTATTATCATATTATATTAAAAAATATATATTTATATTTATAATGACTTAATTGATACAGACAAAATCTGTATACCTGAGTTGTACTAATGTGGACTTTAGGACCCAAGAAAGCAAACTGAAGCCAAGGGTATGACGTCATTCTTTGTTGATGACGAAGAGGTAGGTCGCAAAAGAGTGGGGCCCACTGTCTAGGAACTTGAAACTCCAAGAAACATTGTAAATCTTCTGGTGTAGGCTTGTCTGGTTAACAATGAAAAGGGTAAAATGGTCATTTACTCATGACAAAAAAACAGTGTTTATACAATTGTTTATCCATACTGCACTTAGGGTTAATCAAGACAGAATGACTTAATAGGTTAAGCCAAAATTTTGTTTTGTGAAATATAAGGGTAAAATGGTCATTTAACTTACAGCGTAAATATAAGTTGATTGCATGACTAAGATATCCACTCCCAGGAACGCCATTAAGAAGAGAAGTAATTGGAACAAACTTGAACCGTATTGCTTCAGGGCTAGCAGCCACTGTCTGAAGCCACTTCATGTGGCTTTTTGAAAAGACATCTCCGCCCCTCTTAGACCCGATAATCGTGAGTCCCTGTTCCAGTTTCAACCATTATATTACAAACCATATATCAAGGGCAAAATAGTCTTTTTACGTCCGGCATAGACCAAAGTCAATAAAAACATACCATAGGGGATGTACAAGTTAAAAAAAAATTGGGGACCAAACACATAGATTACTCCAAACCAAATGGACCATTTGTGTAATTTACTTTTTTTTTGTATTTTCAAACTTACATCTTTGCTTGAAGTTTCTGTGATGTTAGTGAACTGAATGGTATGTGGCTCCAACATTCGGCTGAAAACCTCTGGAATCTGGAAATATATTTCTGAATTATTAACTGAAAACTAAAAAAATTAAAAAAAAAAAAAATTTAAGATGTAGAAAAATGATTTAAAATTTTACTTTTTGTTTGCCATCTTTTGTTTTTCTTTCGGGTAAAGAAGGACTTGCTCCATCTAAGAATAAACAGTCTCCAAGATCCTCTAAATGTCCTCTAAGCTCTGTGGGTGAAATTGTGGAAGATGCTTTTTGTTTAACACATATAATATCTTGCCCTCCAATACCCATCCCTACTAAAATGTGGGTCCCATATGTCTGAATGAACCTGTCATACATACATACATACATAAAAAACAAGCATACACAATGTCTTTCTTTTTGACTTAATTGACTTAATGACTTGATATACAAATATACATTTGCATTTGTATCATTCTCTATTAAATAAACAATGGATTGTTGTTCAGCATCGTTTCCAAGTAGAAGGGTAAAATGGTCATTTAGTCTGTTTCTTTGTTTTTCCTGTTAAGTCTTGTATGGATAAAGTGCTTGATTGGGTAATATGTTTGTATGGGTAATTTTGTAAAGATTTAGGTCTGAATGTATATCTGAACAAGATAAACAGCATAGGATTCCTCCTAATTGTTATACATTGTTTCCATTTTTATGATTAGATTTTCAAAACGTATTTACTGTTTATTGTAAGTTTCTTTACCTGGCTAATAACGCGGGATTCCAATGAGTAGGAACGGACTTTTTTACCCTTTCTTGGAGTACTAATGGAGATGCTGTGAGGTGTAAATAGTAGAGGGAGATAAAATAGCCATCAAAAGCAAGATGTTTGGCATCTGCTACATCATTTAACCATGCACCACTTAGATCAAATAATGCATTGAAGTATCCTGAAGGCACTTTTCCTTGTACTGATGCATTTTGATTAAGTAATTCTGACATCTGCAACACAAAATGATTGAAACATGAAAAGAAAGATAGTTAGATGAAGTTTGACACACTTTTGCAGACTCCATAATCGACATTTGAAACAATTGATGAAAGTAGAAGTCATTATAGTTGGTAAGAATGTATAAACATAATCATCATAGGTGCTTATTAACTCTTTAATGTTCTTTTTTTTCCATTATTAAAAGCACACCAGTGGTTCAATCGATTCCAATGCTAACTTGTTATAGGTTTTGACTTCATTTTCGTAATTGAAATTGGAATTGATAATATTCAAGCTCAAAAGTCAAATCCATCTACATAGGCTTGCTTGCAGGGTTAACAAGCCATAGAAATGCTATTCACTCCATGTTTAACAGAGGATAATCGACCACAAATGTTGAATTCACGTGAAACGGATGAAGAATAGATTGATTATGCGAGAGAACAGTTGAAGAAAAAATTCTATCACCTGATTGAACTCCAAAACATCAGATTTAAATCGAACATGATCGCCTTTATCGCAATGAATATCCACTGAAACGCCAGAAATGGTGGCGCCGCCGCCAGGTAAAACGATGTCTCTCTTCCTCGACTCATCAAGCTGCACCAACCGCCCACCACCAGGACACGCCTTCGCAAACTTTAACCGGAAATCGCTAGCGAAATCAAACCCTAATCCTAATGAATCGAAAGCTCTCAACTCAATCGGCTTCTGAGAATAATCCATCGAATTATCGACTAATCACGAATCTCCAAGTCCAACCGCAGAAGCACTCTTGATTCTGATTTATAACTAAAACAAAAACCAAATCAAGATGAACCAATTGGATCAAACACCATAAACGCGTGAATTTAATACCAAGTTGAGACTTTGAAACTTCAGTAATCGGGTATAGAGTGTTGACTAGTAACCGATTCGACAGGCAAAGACACCAAAATTACCTCAAAATTTGGAGTGGTTTTGAATTATTGATGACAAGAAGGAAGCACAAATTGATTGAGTTGTCGGATCGGGTCGGATCCGGTCAGTAAAATAATCGTTGACAATTCTTATATGCAGACAACAATTTTGACTGGATGTATTTAGTTTACCAACTCCAGCATGCTTTCTGACTTCTGACTTTTGGAAAAATTCTTACGCATCTTTTAGGTCTTAAACTTGATGTGAACGTTTGATTCTGAATTTTTAAATTAATTAAAATCAAATTTAAATAATCAAGTATTATCCAAGGTCCGAATATTGAATCCTAACAAAACAATCCACTCATACCCGATAGTCAACTTTAATGTAAAACGGATAAATTACTTGTTAGCAAAGAGCTACCCAAGTGCAAAAGGGAAAAGAGGTCATTTTTATATAGAGTAAATTACACGAATGGTTCCTATGGTTTGGGATAATTTGTGCGTTTGATCCCTAACTTATTTCTTTAACTCGGAAGATCCCTACTGATTGTTTTTATTACGTGTTTGGTCCCTATTGTTTGTTTTTGTTACGCGTTTAGTCCTTGTCATACCTAAAAAGATTATTATTTAAATAGGAAAAAATGATGGGGTACGTAAGGTAAGGTGAGAAGGGTGAGATTAGGGTGTATTTATTTAAATAAATTAAAAAATAAAGGGAAAAATAGACTTTTTATATAAGACAGGGACCAAGCGCGTAACAAAAACAAACAGTAAGGATCTTCCGAGTTAAAAAAATAAATTAGGGACCAAACACGCAAATTACCTTAAACCATAGGGACCATTCTTGTAATTTACTCTTTTATATAATCTTTATGTCAATTTGCATCAATTCAACAACCGAAGTTCTTAATATATTTTCGTTATAATAAAAGCAAAATTCTTAACTTATTTATGGACTTATGGTCATATTAATTTCAATTTGTGTCCGTATTTACCATTTTTTATATAAATGAATATGTTGAAGTTTAACTAATAAATAAATCATAGTTTCTCATTATAGCAAAATAATAATAATAATAATAATAATAATAATAATAATAATAATAATAATAATAAATAAATAAATAAATAAATAAATAATATTCTTTCTGTCCCAAATTAATAGTTCATGTTTACTTTTTGATTTATCGTAAAATAATAATCTATTTTTAAAAATAAATATTATTTTTACCAAAATATCATTCATTATTAGGTAAACTACTATGAAATTAAATGTAACCACCATAAAAGTTAGAATTAAATACAATAAAAATGTATAATTGTCATTTAATTTAATAAATTTAATGGTCATTAATCCATATGTTTTTTTGTTTGTATACAATAATTTTATGATGAATGTGTTGGTGATTTTAGTGCCACCATATCATTTTAAGTAATTGGAACTAACATGTAAGCTAAGGGGCTTCATGATTTGTACTCTAATACATATACGGGGTTGTGCGGAGTGCACGCATGTATAAGATCGAGTCAGAAGCCAGTTCGACGACTAGTCGGGGATCCGGGGGCAGCGCCCCTTTGGCGGGGTCTAGGGGCAGCGCCCCTAGCGGGGTCCAAGGGGCAGAGCCCCTGGCTGGGGTCCCGCTGCCAGGTCAACGGGAGGGGTCGAGGGGTAGAGCCCCTGCGGGGTTTAGGGCAGCGGCCCAAAACCTCACCGAATTTTGCATGTGGGAACATAATGGAAAACTCAATTTCTTGAGGGTGATTATGGTAAAACTAACGAAACTCGTTAGTTTTTGGTAACCCTAATCCGGATTAATATTACTTGCTTCCAAAGCAACTAATGACAGCCCAACCCTAATCGTGTTTAGTATATAAACAACTCTTCCTTTCCAAAAGGGGGACATTCTTTAGCTCTCGTTTTTCATCATACATTCACAGAACCCTTTAGCATATTAGCTTACGTTTTCTGTGCCTAGAAACGTAAGTGTCCCCTTGGATTATCCTAGGTTGAATTTCTTGTAACCTAGACATAAGGTAGAAATATCCGTTCGGAAAGTGATATCACGATCCAAGCTGGTATCCATATCTCCACCAGAAACCCTAATATTCCCAAGAGAATGGAGTAATCTTTTTATGCGTCTATCACTATTAGATCAAATATGCTCAACCAAGTGAGAATGAAGTTAATGATAAAGTTTGTTTAAACGTACTCCTAGACTATTTTGAAGATATTTTAGGAGATCTTTGATGAAACTTTGAAAAATCTTATTTCAAGTATCTATTTCTTCGTGGGTCCGATTAATTATATTGTATCGCATTCATCGTAACAATCATATTAAGCAAAAGTATGCAAATTTGCACAATATTTTCAAATGTTCCAACTATTGTCGTGATAGTCCTTTAACAATAGTCAAACGAAATTTAAATACCCAAAATGACCATTTTGCACCCTTTTTCACGCCCTCTTATTATTCATTCATTTATTTTACTTTTGGAACATATAGACATAAAAAGACTTTTCATGGAACTAGCCCATTTTAGATCAATCTCAAGTCTCAACTACAGATAATATCCTTTGGTAAATTATGTGATTTTTTTAATGAATATTACTTTTGGTGCCTTTCGCTACAAGACAAAATTTCAAGCACTCGCCATAACAATCTACATAGGCCCCATACGCTTGTTAATGGATAGCCCTCATAAAGTTCATCTCTAACATTAGGCTTGAACATAATTTTTTCGATTGCAAAGTTTGTCTTGACATATATTCAAATGATACACTTCATGGCTTTGTGTCATGCTACTTGATGTATCCGATAGATCATTTGGAAGGTAACATCATGAAGGAACCTAACTGAAATTTTGAAAACATTCAATATAAATGTGTAACATCTCGAAAATTACAAAGAGATTTTTCATTTCCAAAAAGGTTTATTTCAAAAATCATTAAGTAACATTTGTTTACCAAAATCATACATTATCAGAGTTATGTTACAAAACCATGGAAACGAAAATCTTCAACGCATGTGTATAGTCCCGCCAAATTCTTTTCACGAACAACCTGCAAAACATTTAATCCACAACTGTAAGCGTAAAGTTTAATGAGTTCCCTAATATACTATATATTTTACCATACATACAATGCATCCACATAAGCATAGTCCTTGGCTCTAGCGCCAAACAATCAAATCTCCAACCCACGTGTGTGTGTGTGTATCATTACTATATATAAAAGCTCTATTTTTCTGATGCTTCCTTTTGGGCGTTCATAGGGTTTGAAGGATGCCATGTAGCTTAAACCTCAAACGACGCCTTGTAAAATTAACGTCGATGCTGTCGATTACCACCACCTCATGTTGGATTACCCGTATCCGCTTTCATGTTTGAAGGTTTTGGATTGCGCCATTTTGCTTCAAATTGGATCCACTTTCCTTACCGATATAACCATTTCCAAGCAAACAGATACCGTTTGCAGTCATCAACCGATTCTTCGCTTCGTTCATCCTGAAGATAAAAAATGGCTTTGTTTAAAAACAAAACCCTCATCCTTGCCTGTTTATTTCTTCAATAATCTCCTTAATTCTCATTTCCCTTATTGGTTTTCTTGTTCCCCTATGATGCTTTGTTTCTTCATCTAATCTAACCGTATGGGCAAGCACTTGGATCTAATTCAGGAGCACATAGATATTAAAGGTACTTATCTTTATCTATTGTTAATGTTAATATATTTTATTCACCTATTTCTTCTTTGTTCCACCATCGGTTCCCCTTTATCTCTTTTCATAAACTGATAAACGAACAACCGATGTGGAAGTGAAGATGTTTGTTGGCTTTTCACGATTGACACAGGTTTGCACCACCACTCCTCCTCTATAAGTTGATTTTATGTTCCAACTTGAATAATTTTGTGTTTTTTGTATGTAATTTGGTAGTTGCAGCGAGACAAAGCGAGAAAAATGGATGGAAACTTGCTCGGATGTTTCCTCTTGCTAGCCACTCTCTTAAATTTTCTCTTCATTCTTTTTTTTTTCTTATGTTTTTGCTTGGTTTGCGGTTTTGTTATATATTGAGTTATGTTTTCTATGTTCAATCCTTAATATCTGAGTTTCATTTCGATATTTCAAATCAGACCACTGAATTCATTTATCATTCCTTTTTCCACTCCTATACTTTAATATTTCTGATCTGCCTTAATATCTCTATATTTTAGTAGTGTAAAACCCATGTAAGTTATCTAATTAACGGTCCATCCAATTGCAGCATCAGGATGCTTGATTTTTCTTTTTTAGATTATTCCATTTAGAGTAAACTAAATTGCAAAAAATGAAACAGGATATTAATCCAACAAAAAGACCCGATGCAAGCATGATGGCCATACTTTATTTAAAAACTATCCTTTCTTAAATGAATTAATTGGCATAATATAAGATCACAAAGCCTTTGGAAATTTGAATTCGAGAAGGTAGACATTTTTTGTTATATGATTAATCTTTACCTTCTTTTCAAATATTGAAATATGTTTCATGATAATAACAAATGAAATAGATATTACCGAGTCTAGAATAATAGCTCTAATAATTAGTATCTATTACTTTATAACATTTTATATAAAATCTTTTTCTTAATATGATATTATAATAAGTTGGTATCTTAAGAATAATTTGTATCATGTTAAGGACCTATTTATGTGTCATTATAGCAAAGATGAGATGAACTTGCAGAATTCGGTGAGTACGAGTGTTCGTTTTGGATGGATCGGTTTGATCCGATCCAATCAAGTGAATCCGAATAGATTTCGGTTTTCCAAACATTGATCCAAAATAGTCCAAACTAAATTTATATCTAATCCGATCCAATCAAATTACAATTCGGTTGGATCGGTTTTTATAATTCGGTTTTCAAGAGGCAAGACATTTTGAAACTATATAACTTGAATATTAGCAAAATCTATAAAGAAACTATTTTTTTTTTTTATAAATTATAATTTATGAACAAATAGTAAGAAAATATATTATAGTTACTATTTCATTAACAAAAAACTTTTGATAAGAAGTAATTTTAAAGTAGTATATTCGATGAAAATTTATAATAACTAAAAATAATAATTTAGTAAATTTATAAATTGTTAAAGATACATATGAAAAATAGTTAATAAGTTGTTATTCGGTTTTTTTTGGACTATTCGGTCCTTAGTCGAAATCCAAAATAATAATTCGGTTTTGTTGAAAACCAATCTAAAAATCCGAATATCCGAACCAAATAGTCCGATCCGAATTGTCCAATTGGACAATTCGGTTTTATCCAAGTAGTGAACAGTTTTATCGGTGAGTGTCAGTTGACTCAATTTTAAAAGATATGGAAATTTGGGTACCTGCATTAAACATTTTATTATTTATTTAGACAATAAATGTTATGTTTATATTTCATGGTTATTGTGGACTATAGGATCTAAACATATGATCACTAATTAGCTTCAAAAAAAATATGTTATCCTTAATACCAATGTACTTGCAATGTTTTTTTTTCTTTATGTTTGTTTTGGATTTTTAGGTGTTCAGATATTTGTGGACATTACATGTGGATGAGAACCTCATATTTGACTTAGGAGTCGATAGTGGTGTTTGAGGCCCCAAGACTAGAATTTAGTCAAAATTCCGACTATTCTATTAATTACCTCCATAATTAATAACTAATAACAAGTCTAAGTATAATGTTGAATTTTTTTATTAAATTTTACTATAAATAAAAAAATACAAACTTTTGTAATTTCCTTTATATATATATATATATATATATATATATATATATATATATATATATATATATATATATATATATATATATATATATATAACAAGTTAAATTATATAGAAAATGATTATCTTTCATTTCAAAACTATCAATATAGGGGTGATATACACAACCACATACCGCTACAGACACATTGTGCATGTTATTATGTATGTATATGTGGCTATGTATGTTGATGTGTGCGTTAGTGAGTGGGATGATGTGTGTACTTGTGGGCTGTGGCTATCTTTTTTATTGTTAAAACTTTCAAAAAATACGACCAAAGTACATCATAAAGTAGCAATGTACTTACTAATTATATGGATATTTTAATGTAAAACTATCAAAATGGGGGTAAAAATACACATAGCCACACATACAAAACCACATGCTCATTATCCATGTTATTTTTCGTGGGTCGTGCTTAGCACGGGCCTTAACCGTAACTAGTATATATATATATATATATATATATATATATATATATATATATATATATATATATATATTATACACAACGGTACAAAAATGTGTGAATGTTATGGTCCTCCCATAATCTTATAATCACTTGTTCTCACAGTCCTCCTACAGTCTCATCTGTTGTGGTCCTCCTATATTCTTACGTATAATTGCCATGGGCTTTCTGTCACGATCCTCCCACGTTATTTTATACAATTGTCAAGGGCCAAATCCTGGTCTTTCATAAAATACATAAAGTTATATGCAATCAGGGATTAGATAGACAGTCAAACAGGTGATCCACCCGAAAGCGAACAATCAGGCAAGAACATCACAATAAGGCCTTAGTCCAAGAGTTCCCAGACTATTGAACTTAAATTACATAGAAATAGTGATATCATCACCACATGATCATGTAACATAAACACATAACCTATACTATCATGTTACATACCCTTAGTAACTAGCCTTCCATAGTTACCCTGTCATTGACCACACTTAAATTAATTGGCCTTCCCTAGTTACCCTAACCAAACATAACTCCTAACAATATCATACGATCAACAGGCAAAGACCCTACCGGTCTAGCATACTAAGACACCAAGCATTCTAAATATACATGTATAACAAGGACTTATCCTAGTCAACCAGCATATTGGTACTCTAACAGTACCTCTATTCTACCATGCAAATGATATGCAATGGGATATATGAGATAATGAGAAACTCATATGAACCAAAGAATCGGAGAAGCACATATATACTCTCACACCTTGTACTAATCAATCCCACGAATCGACAACACCAAAAGAGATGAATCCACATTCAACAACCCAAATCCTCCAAGTTTAACCTAAGTCAAATTGCTTAAAAGTGAATGCGCAATAGTCAACCAAGTCAGCTATCACCACGGCGTGGTAACCTATTAGCCACCTCGTGGGTATGTCTAGACAAACAATCATGAGGCCGAACCTCTTCCACGATTTAGGGACCTCTTGGCCATGTCATGGCCACTAGCAAAAGCCATTTTTCTCATTAAGAGCTTAATCCTTACAGATCAAGGCTCATACTTCCAGATATGATTCTTCTTAATGACTTATTGGATAAAGTTTCCTTTACCTATTTTGACCTCTCCACAAGACACGATTTTAAACCCTAAGTTTAGAAGGTCCTAAATATGAACTCAAATTGAGCATGGAGAAAAGGGGACTGATACTTAACACTTTTTCCATCATCAAGTGCCAAAATATGGTCACCAGACAAGCCTAAGGTTCTAGAGTTGTACAAAACTCCAAAATCACTTCTTCAAGGGGCTTCATGGAATGAAAGTAAAGAAGAGGATGATAAAGGTGAAATCTTTATACCTTCCCAACATCAACAAGATCCAAGAGATGCAAGATCTGGAGTAGATACACTCTCTAGCTAGCAAGCACACCTTCTTCTTCTTATTCTTCCCAAAGTGCAAACCAAGGTTTTAAACCTCAAGAACACCAATAATGCAACAAGAATAATCAAAAGAGGGCTATGGTTTCGTTTAGGAGGGTTGGAGGCTGAAGAGGATGCCCTAATCTTGAAGTTAGAGGCTTTAAATATGGGGAAAAAAAAACCTCTAAAGAATAATAGGCTTGGGCTGCTATAGCCACCATGTCGTGGCACACTACCTGCCACGTCGTGGTGCTCGCCAGAAAAACGTGTTTCATATAAGTCATATCACGTCATGGGCTTCCATGCAACACGTCATAGCAAATGTTTTTCCTCAAACACCATTCCATTGATTTTTTCAGGGCACCGACTGATCTAATCTTAAAAACATGTGTTACAAAATGTTAGCTCAAATAAATTATTATTAGATATTATAATTACCAACAATATATTATATGGTCTTAGATGTATTAAAATTTTACATCAATCTTCATCATGCAAATGATCCCAAAATGGTGAAACACAGCTCATCCCAATGCACTATTCGAAGGAGTCATTGAAGATTATATTGTGGATCTACCATTTAAATGTTTAATGAAAAACTTTATCTTTCATTGTAAAGAAAACAATTAGTATTATAACCCAATTGGTATTTATTTTGTGATAATACAAAAATGAGATTTGCATAAAATGCTAATCATATGAACCAAACGAAACGAAATACATGGATAACAAAATGTGGTAAAATATATATGAGAATGTGAGGATTCTTGTTTAGGATTTCAATGGACAAGAGTTAGCAGGAATTTGATTGTATCTTGGTAGAGTCTAAGGCTTCTAATGGTAGATAACAATTGGGTTTTTAAGTTGTTTGGAATACTATTTGTGTTTAGTTTAATTTGAAACACTTTATTTGTTTATTTGATATTATGCTTAATTCTCTGTGTTATTCTATGCTTCTTGATGAAGTAACATGACTTAATTTTCTATTCTCCTATTTACACATTATCATTTTGTATATGTCGTAGGTCATATATAAAAAGTATAATAGCAAACTCCTTAATTCCAATTAGAATAAAATTGAAGTGGTAGAGTAGATATCAATAATCATCTCTCTATAATAAAATATATATTAAAAAATAAAAAAGAACACACGACCACATCATTACCTCTCATACCTCATACTAATTGGGATTATCTTTTGTTGTTAGTGGTGTTTTTTTAAATCTTTATATCATTTATGTATTAACATTTTTATTGAAAAGTAACAAATATAGAACGAAATAGTGGTGAAACATTGACTTCTTGGGAAATTAAAAATATTTTTTTAAATATCATATGGAGGAAATTTGCATTTTCTTTTTTCTTTATAATTTTTTTGAGTAATTTGGCGGCCGAAAATGGGGTCCAATAATAAAAGCATCTCTGTCTCTGCAACTCTGCCAGCCTTTCTTCAACCGTTTCTTGCTGTCGACCCTCCCAAATCAGAATCACAACTACAAATAAAATCAAACAATTAAACCCCAAATCTTTCTTAATTTCACCAACAGATCACAGCTCCTCAAAAATGGACTCATCGGACGACGAAGGAGAGGAGTACTTGTTCAAAGTAGTCATCATCGGCGACTCAGCTGTCGGAAAATCAAACCTGCTATCTCGTTACGCTCGAAATGAGTTCAATATGCATTCCAAAGCTACAATCGGAGTCGAGTTTCAAACTCAGAGCATGGAAATCGACGGGAAGGAGGTCAAGGCTCAGATTTGGGACACCGCAGGCCAGGAACGCTTCCGTGCTGTCACCTCCGCTTACTACCGTGGCGCCGTTGGTGCCCTAATTGTTTACGATATTTCCCGGAGCACCACATTCGATAGCGTCTCCCGATGGCTGGAGGAGCTCAATAGTGAGTTTAATTTACTACGATCTGATCTCGTTTTGCTTTAGTTTAATTCGTTCATTATGTGCTTTAGATCAGTTCATTTGAATCGTTTCTAGCTAGATCGAGATACATACAAGTGTTTTGAAAATGTTTTTGACTGAATTTGAACACCAATTGACATGATCACATGAATCTGAGCTCTGAGGTGATGTGATCTAATCCCATGTAGAAAAACTCTGATTGGATTCATAATTAGGGATCTTCCAGTTCAAATCCTGAATTTGTCATATCCAATTTCAAATTCCAATTCCTTTAACAGATTTCATTCCTTATAATGCAGCTCATTCAGAGACAACAGTGGCAAGAATGTTAGTGGGAAACAAATGCGATCTGAACAATATCAGAGCTGTGTCTGTTGAAGATGGCAAGAACCTTGCAGAAAAAAACGGATTGTTCTTCATGGAGACATCAGCACTCGATTCAACAAATGTGAAAACAGCTTTTGAAATGGTGATTCGTGAGATTTACAACAATGTTAGTAGAAAAGTTTTGAATTCAGATTCATATAAAGCTGAGTTATCTTTAAACAGGGTCACTCTTCCAAATGATGGTGATGCTGGATCTAACCAAGATCAAACCAGATACTCTTGTTGTTCTTGATTTTTGTGTATTCTTTTCTTGATTATTTTTCGAAATTAAATTTATTTTGTTGGATTTTATTATGTGAATGGTAAAATTTGCCATTTTTTGTCTTTTTAACCATGTTGATTTCACAAACTGCATATATATCTATTTATGTATCTATATTCATACTATCATACAATTGAGGTTTAAGATGATTTATCTTTGACTACATTAATTTGAATTTTTTGTTCATTACATCCAACAAATTAACTGAAACCTTTTTAATTGCTTGAGAATGTTTATTTATTTAGCTTTGTACAAAATAGGGATAAATTTAGATTTTATTAACAGTCATCATTTTTTAATTAAAGGTTAAACATCATTATTTGTTAATTAAAAAAATTAAATTTGTTATTTGTTATATAAAAGGTTGGAAAACTATCTTTTAAATAATTGAAAATGTCCAAAAGACCAATATTCTAAATTAAACAACAACAATGGGTATATATAATATTAAACAAAAAATTATTAAAATAGAATTTCATTAAGAAAAAAATTATATTACTTTGAAAACAATGATTATCATTTTAAAATATCAAGAGTGAGAGCATGATAGAAATCTTAAAATCTGTCTCATTGGAGAAGTCAAAGAGTTGTTGATGTTCGAAAAGGTTCTTTCCATGCTCAAAGACAGATGGATTATGTCATTGCATGAGATATATTAAGGGTTGTAAGGAAATTTTTTTTTTTAATTTTTTCGATTAAAAGTGTATATTAGCCTCTTAATTTTTGCTCTTAATTGTCCAATTCTTTTTTTGGCAAATATCATTAGAAGTCTACGATTAGCAAGTGACTTAATCACGACAGAAAATTAATACAAGAAAAGTAATCGTGAAGGAATCAAAAAGATAAATGAATAAAAGGTGAGCAAATCCATTTTGCTCGATCACCACAACCATTTTTCCTCCTCTATGTGCACCAAGATTATGAGTTAGCAATGATGGCATCCACTATCTTTGTTGGAGAGATTCGAATATTCTTAAAAACACACTCGTTCCTGGCATTTCAGATACTCCATAACGTGCAGTAGAAGACTATAATACCAATCACTTCCTTTATCTGAAAATTGTGCCATCCGTCACCTGAGTTAAGGAATTTCATAACACTCGAACACCTTCTATTTTCAATCCAAGCCATTTGAAAATCCAAGAATATACAGTTTGGGCAAAACTCACACCAAAGAAAAAGATGGTTCACTAAGGGGCTGTTTGTTTTTTGTGTGAAGATATGCGCAACCACTTTTGTCTGCGCCGCGTAGACAACGCGCAGGCATATGCCATCGCAAATTGTTTGTTTTTTGGAAGTGCGCAGATCAGAAAACGTTTGCGCGAGGTCTTCCTGACGCAGACATGAGCCGCTGTCTTCAAAGGTCTTCAGACCTCATTTTAATCTAAACCAAAAAAAAAAAAACATGGACCACTGTGCAGTTTCTTTTTTCTTTCTTTTTTTGTTAAAAATACATTTTTAATGTTTATGACATGAAATTAAGTTTAAAAATTCAATTTATTTTAACAGTCCGCAGATGTTAAAAACAAACAGTCTTCTTATTGCAGATTGCAGACATTTGGTCCACCTCTTCTGCCGCAGAGGCTTGCAGATGTGGTCCGCAGACTGCAGACATTTTGACTTAAAAAAACAAACAACACCTAATTCAACTTCTTTGTTGCGGACACATCGGATTAGGAACATTTATTCCCGTCGCCATTAGGGTGCCCGCTTGAATTCTATCCATCGAAGTCCGCCATACAAAACATCTGACTTTTAACGGGATTGTTTTTGACCCGCAGATCTTAGGGCATTTGGATAAAATCAGTTTCGATTCAATTAGTCGCCTCATGCCATTTACCTTATAATCGTTATCAATTGTCTTATTGAAGCAAAAACCGTATGAAGATAAGCCCTTGCTTATCTTCAAGCAACGAATATCAGTATATAATTGGAGCAACTCGTGCAATTCCATCGAGTTGGATGTCTCGCCCTTCCAACACCAAGAGAAACCACTGACAGACAGACGGTCAACTGGTGAGCAATTTTTAACTTATTCAATCGTATAAAGATGATTTTTTTTTTCTGAAATGATATTGTTCCACACCATACGTCTTTCCAGAAAAGAATTTGAATGTTAGATCCACGGATAAGAGTGAATATCTGATGATTTTTGATGATTTTCAATACCAATTTCCTCCAGAGCCATGACTGCTTTATGGATATTACACCACATCCGAGTGGATGTCTTTCTAGCAATATGATGCCTAGGTTTCTTCAGCAGATTAATTGTCCAGTAGCCTCTTAATTTTTAAGAGAATGAATTGTATCTAAATATGAAAAAAAAAAAAAAAAAAAGAGCATGTTCCGAATATACCATAATTTTTCAGCAAACTTTTTTTCCCCTCTTCCCTTTATATTTCACAGACAGCTTCCATTTTCCCTCCCACTCGGACCTCTTAAAAATTGAGATATTGAAAATTTAGCACTTTAAAAATCCACACCTCTTAAAAGTTAGCCTAACAAACATTTTGTTAAAGCTGATTATGGATTTTGGAGATACATCCAAAGCAAAAGAAATTTCTAACAGAAAAAGAAAATAAAAACTACTGTTATATCGTGGCTTAGGGTATGTGACAATGCAAATTGCAAAGATTAACTTGGATAAGAATGGCGTTTCGGTTGTGGGATCCCAATTTCTTGATGGTGATTCCAAGTTTGGAACATTTGGTAATGGGTTGGATCCATCAGAGGAGATCCGGAAGAGTCTTTTGGGCCCAGGGAATGCATTGGGATTTTAATTTGGATCATGAAATGCCCCCTGCAGAGCCCATCAATGCTGAACCCAATGAACCTAATGAAATCAGGCCTAAATCACCTCCCCTTTAAAATCAAACTCGCTATCTGCTTCTAATAGATTATGCGGAACATCTTCTATCAACAACTCTGCTTCGGTGAGATTAAGAGATTTAGATGGTATTTGTTTTTTAAGATTTAAAATGTCTACGGCCTTTTTCCATATTTGCAGAAGAAAATATGGACCAAAAGTCTTTATAGGTGATACTAAACAAAATAAATGGATGTACATACACCCATTATGAGGGTTGTGTTTCAAGGTGGTTCACTTGACTCATCTAAATTTAATAAGTGTAATTAAAACAAGGTACATAAAAAGAAGGACATAATTTATATATTTTGAAAGATCTACATTAATGTGTTTGGTAAAAAAAAAAAAAAAAAAAAGAGAGAGCGGAAAAAAAAGAAAAAGATATAACATATAGACAATAGAAGGCATATTATATTTATGACTTGAAAGAGTCCCATTGATTCCAATATGGAAATGATGATCGGGTTTTCTATTATAAATAAATGATTCATTTTTTGTGTTTCTACACCATAAGCTATTGGATATTTGGTTTAAACCTACTAGCTTAAACTAGAAGATTGTTTTAGTAAATTTTTTTTAATGGATGATCAATTTGGCTTTAGTCCTTTCATCACCAATTTTTATACATGTTGAATCGATTATATTTTTGGTTGAATCGAACCAATTAAACACAACTAATCCAATTAAATTTGGTTAGTAAACTATGTGACTTATATTCTAGACTCGCTACTGCTGACCATTAATCACATTTATTTCGAAATGATGGTAAAGACGAAGACGATATTGGTGGCGGTTTCCCTCGTAACGAAAATATGCCACCAAAATCTTAAAAACACACTAATATGTCTACTTGTAAACCAACATCAATACCTATCAATACTAAAAGGAAATTAAATGCGAACATGAAATTCTTGTATAAGGATCCGACCATATACCATAGTCTAGTCGAAACCTTGCACTATCTTATCTTCAGATAGTCAATAACTTCTTACTTTATATAGTAAGTTTTCCTTCATAGCACACTTCTCACAATGATTGTATGACATCTCTCAAAGATACATATGTTTTACTTTAGATTTTAGTATTCATTCCTACAAATTGCAAACATCTCGTTAATCAATTTACACAGATATCATATCAACTGGACAAGGTGCCTTCACATTTGTCACTCCACTTTTGGTTAGTAAGTCTCGCCCGAAGACTATCATTTTGTAGTTGTTTAAAAGACAACATACTATCTCTCGATATAATGCAAATATAGAATAATAAGGGTTGGCAAATATCGTTTCCAAGACATGATGGACTCCTAATATATTACCAGAATTACACATACCAATACCATATAAATCACTTAGGATCTCTATTGGTTACACTTAATATCTTTAATGTAGAGATAATAATGATTGAATGATCATTTACAGTCACAAAAAAATTAAATTACATAAAACAAATTAAAAAATATAGATTTTATATTTAATAAAATTCAATCCTCCATAATATAATTATCTTATTTATAATAATTTAAAAACCATAATATGACTCGTAACCAGTATAAAAATCGTATTATTTAAGAGATAATATACTTCCTACTTTGTAGTGATTTTATATAACTAAAAGATTAATCTAATAAAAATAAATTCTAAATAAAAACATAGAATTAAGAAACCTTAAAAATAAATAAATAAATAAATAATAAAATAAAATAATTTCAAGTTATCTTAATATTGAGAGAAGTTAAATATTTTTTTACATTTTCTTTCTACTTATCCTCCTATTCATATTAAATGATGAAAAATATATAAAAATATTATTAATTTAATAAATATAACAAATATCAACATTTGACGTATGTAGGAGGATTGGTATATATATATATATATATATATATATATATATATATATATATATATATATATATATATATATATATATAAAGATTGTAAAAATCGTTTGACGGTAGTTCGACGGTCGACTAGTGTTAAGGAATTAATCGGTTTTGGCGGGGATTAATCAGGGACCATAGATTATTAATAAAATATTAAAATTAATTAA